ACACACACACACACACACACACACACACACACACACACACTAATGAGAGCTGTTCTCAGCAGCTGAGAGCATGACCCAGATCAAGGACAGAGGGATCATGGCAACACTGTGTATGGAGTGTGTGTGTGTGCCTGAGTGTACCTCCCCCTCAAAACATGGACTTGGAGCTGCTTCGCAAAAGTAGCTCATTACTGGTGGATAGGCAGCACCAGACATACCAGCCTATGGCTTGACAAGCACTGGTTTGTTGAGCGCAGAGAGACGAAAGCAGCTTGTCTGAATAGTCGGCGTGACAAGGCATTATGACTCCACCATTCCCTTGAAACTGCACTACACCAATTTGATGATCATGACAGCCTGTTAGGTAGGGTGTAGCTTCTTTGTTAAGTTTATTCAGTGTTTCCACTGGAGGTGTTTTAGTGTTGCTTGTGTGTTCTTTGCATTGAGTTAAAAAAATGTGATAATCGACCAATTAAATTCAAAGCAAAACCATAAAATTGAATGTACAACAAATCAAAAAATGAATACACCATCTGCATGCGCTGGCTATAATAGATCAGAAACTCTGTTTCTTCTTGACTTGTCCCTGGATTTCCCCAGATAGCTCTTTCCCATCTTCAAAGTCATCTTTGATATCTTTGAGACGGTCTAATTCCTGGTAACGTAAAAGAACAAAATTTGATTACAGATGCTAATGTGAAAGTCTCTCCCTTTAAATCTTCCAGACAAGACTTGGCATTCCTACCAATTACACAGGGCTTGAAGTCAAAGGGAAGCAAACACACTTTGAAAGCTTTAATCCTGTCTTTTCTTGCATGGGGCTTCTGTCATACGGTCCAAGGCTTGGCTGTGGTCTATCACAAATAAATGAGAGCGTTGCAGCTCAGCTGAGTCAATCCAAGGTTGTTGGCACCTCATTAAATCTAATCACCGCCGTACACAGACTCATTAAAAGTTGGTAGGATGGAGAATGAGACAGGAGGAGAAGGAGAGAAAGAGACAAATGCCATAATGCAGATGCCCCAGCCATCTGTAGTTTATACAGCTTCATAAGGCACATCCTATTCTGAATGCGGAGCACAGCACAAGGTAAATGTAGAACCCCTCAGCCCTATAATCAACCCTGATGGCAGCGCTCCACCAATGATTTGGATAGTGCATAGTATATCAATTTCCACCCCTTCGCAGTGCAAAGCATTAGACTTGCTAATTTTGTCTGTTTTTTTCCTGTTCACTACTAAATGGATCCATAAATATTAATAGATTCACACTCCCCTCCTGGTTGCCTGTCATGCATTCTAGGGATTGTGGATGATGATATGATATTGCTAATTAGTTTTGCAGAAATAATGTTAGCGGTGAAGCTATGGACAGGCTGGCATGCTGAGGTGATGACATTCCTGCCATTTTAATACGCAGCAGAGTCCTCTGAATATACTGTAACATGGAAAACACTTGTAGGAAACATGGAAAGGGGAATTGGGGCTGCCCATCTTCTGAATTTACAACATCATGATTTATTCAGAAAAATAACAGCGCATAGACACACACGTGCGCATGTTTTGCAATGCAAAAGTACAGTATAATGATGCACACCATTATTAAACACACAATAAAAATGTGCCCATTAGAGTAAAATCAATTATTCATCAATGTTTCCGACACAGCTTTGATCAGAGAAGCATCAACACACATTCGAGCTGTTCACTCCAAAGGTCATTATTGTCACATGTTCTCCAACGTGTGGCCTTTTTTTGTGCGCTGCTGACATGTGCTTACTACAAAATCTACTGTAGTAACAGCTTTAAAAAAAGGTTCACAAACACAGCGGAGCTCAAAGAATGGGAAAGGCTCGAGTGTTGCATTTGTTGTTTTCCAAAACAAAACAATTTTTCACTGTCTGAGCAACTTTTTTTTTTTGCCACCGGAGCTGCACAGGACTCTCAATTTTGTTCAAGGACATCTGAGTGG